TTTAATAACTAGTAGTAATATTATTATTATTATTATTATTATTATTATTATTATTATTACTATTATTATTATTATTAGTAGTAGTAGTAGTAGTAGAGAGAATAAAGAGAATTAGGGAGTTATTAGAGAAGTTGTGGGAGAAAGAAGATTATCACGATAAACTGCTCAGAAAACCAAAATTTGAGGAAAAAGGTTGAAGAGAAGGAAAAAGGAACGTGACTGTGGAGAAAGTAAGAACAGAAGAATTGTCCATCACCATCAGTGAAATTGGAAGATAGTTGCAGAAAAGTCGCCGGAGAGCAGAACCAGAACCGAAAGCTTGGAATTGACCTCTATTCTAAGGTAAGGGTGGGGTTCAATTCTATAACTGTGGGTATGATCGATTTCATGTAGGGAATCGATTCATAGGTATAATTTTCGTTAGTCGATAAATGTTAGGGACGAGGTTTTTCTATGTAAAAATGAATGTGTTATATCGTTAGTAGTACGATGCTCTAAGGTTTCCCTAATGGGGCAAATATGTAGAAATGAATGTGTTATATCGTTAGTAGTACGATGCTCTAAGGTTTCCCTAATGGGGTAAATATGTAGAAATGAATGTGTTATATACGATGCTCTAAGGTTTCCCTAATGGGGCAAATACGTAGTAATGTCCCCGTAGTAACGTTACCGTAGTAATGTTCCCGTAGTGATGTCCCCGTAGTAACATTACCGTAATAATGTTCCCGTAAGTTGAAGAAATATTAAGGATTAATGTTCCTGTAGATCGATAAATATTAAGGATTAATGTTCCTGTAGATCGATAAATATTAAGGGTTAATGTTCCCGTAGTGACGTTCCCGTAGTAATGTTTCCGTAGTAATGTTCCCGTGGTAACGTTCCCGTAGTAATGTTCCCGTGGTAACGTTCCCGTAGTAACGTTCCCATAGTAATGTTCCCGTAAGTTGAAGAAATGATCCCGTAAGTTGAAGAAATATTAAGGGTTAATGTCTGTCTGTGTATGAATGAGTGTGTTATGCCATTAGTTTTGGGGGAAATTGGGAAACGGTGCCGACACGCGCTACTTTCCCATTTATTAAGAAGGTGTTGTTATTATGTCCCTATTTAATTAAATTAGAAGTTGTAGTTATATTACCCGTATGAAAGTATATGAAAATGTGTTGAGTTCTTATTTGTAGTAATGATGTTGTCAGTTGTTCTCTGACATGAAAATGCTGTTGAGTTCTCAATTGTAGAGACGAGGTTGTTTTTAATTGTTCTCCGCGAAAATGTGTTAGAGTCTTATTCGTAGGAACGATACTGTTGGTAGTTCTCTAATATGAACATATTGAAGTGGTGAGTACATGATGTATGCGAAATATGATGTTTCTGTTATGGATAATTGGTTGTAGGCGTGATGCCTTGTTGCACGGTTGTTGTTGTTATGTTATAGTCCATAATGGTTGCATCTCATAGCATATCATTTGGCCTGGATTGGCGACGGTTGTGTCTTTAATGACAAAATAAAATGATTGTGGAGAGTTGTCTCCCGAATTATTGTGGAGTGTTGTCTTCCGAATTATTGTGGAGAGTTGTCTCCCGAATTATTGTGGAGTGTTGTCTCCCGAATTATTGTGGAGAGTTGTCTCCCGAATTATTTTGGAGTGTTGTCTCCCGAAATGGTACCACATGCATATGCACAGTTGAGTTGCATTGTTGAGTCGCATTGTTGAGTTGCGTTGTCGAGTTATTTTGATGAGTTGTTGAGTTATAATAATAATTGTTGTGGTTACGAATAAAGAGTTGTTATAGTTTATCCTTACTAATATTTATGCGAACTGCTGGAATTATAATGCTGTGATAATATTGTGACATGACTTTTATCATGCCTTATGTTATATTGTTGATATCTCACCCTTTACGTTGTATGTTACCCCGCTGGTGGTAATTTGCAGGTAGCCTGGAATAAAGTGTCGCTTTATGTTTAAGGTGTCGTTGGTCGCTCTGATACGTAGCACTCTTGGGGGGATGAACGATTGATTTTACTGCTTTAGTTGATTTACTTGTTGCTTAATTTTATTAAGTACTTTTCTTTAATAAATTGGTTGTTTCTGATAGTGCCAAATGTTGGTTGTACGCACCAAGCCGGAGAATCGGTGGTGCTGAATTTTTATGGAAAACTAGTTGTTTTAATGTTGCTAAATTTTATGGAGTTTGGTTATGGTGAATGGTTGAAAGTATATTATAACATGTCGTTTTATGATTAAAATGTTAAACAAATTATTGTTGTCTGTTCATCCGAACCTGTGCTACGTATGTGAATATATGGTTGTGTTGAAGATGCATGTTGTCTGCTAAGCTGAATATGTAACACCTCTGATGCGTCTGAGAATTTGGGAGTGTGACGGTCGTCACAGCTCCATGACGCTCGTCATGACCGTGACAGTCGTGACATCCATGACGGTCGTCATGAAACTTTATTTGCTGCACTCTAAATTGTTTCTGTTTTTTATCTTATTTTTCCGCGATAGTTTAGAGTGGGGTGTTACATTGGCGGCCTCTATCTCCTCGTACAGGATGTAATGGCGAGCTCTCTCGAGAAAGTCTTGTAGGGTGTATGGCCGATGGATGGCCACGACCTCGTAGAACTTGGACCCTCGGCGCAGGCCTTGCTCCATAAGGTAGCGCTTCATATCGTCCGAAATCGTTACCTGGACCGCCTCCTCGTGAACCACTTAATGTAGTTTCTGAGAGGTTCATCCGGGTATTGGATAATTGCACCCAGGGCGGCCTCCGTCTTCGGATGTCGTCGCGACGCCGTGAAATGCTGTGAAAAAAGATCCTTCAGGACCCTCTAAGACGTGACGGACTCAAGCTCCAGGCTTTTGTACCAAGCCATAGCCCCTTTCTTCAGCGTTGTCGGGAAAAGCCTGCACTTGATGTCTCCTCGGACGTTCCTATAGTCGAGCATGGCCTCGATGTCCTCTAGATGATCGTCTGGATCCGAGGTACCGTCGTACGTGGAGAGCACGGGCGGCTTCTCCATCCCGTGGGGATGGGGGTTGCCATGATTTCCCGCGATAGGGGGGTCCTATAGTCATCTTCGTCGCTGCGGACAGGGGAGTGCGGAGGCGACAAGTCGTGTCGGAAAGGCTGATTGCGTCTCCTTGGTCTTCTGGTCGGGGCTTCAGGCCTGTTCGACCTTGGCTCCGGGGAGCGTCTCTCCTTCCGAGGTGGCGACCTGACGCGTTTCTTGGAGGTCACCAGTTGGGGCCTCTCCAGCTGTGGTCGGCGTCCCCGTGGACGTGGAGAGGGGCTCCGAGAGTTCCCGCGTTGATTTCTCCGCGGAGGAGAGCGGGATGAGGTATCGTGTTCCAGCGCGCCGATGCGCTTATTCTGTTGGAACAGTATCAGGTTTGTCTGGTTGATGGCCGCGAAGAGAGCAGTCATCGTCGGATCCGCTCCAGCCGACGTGGGAACGGGGTGGAAGACCGTCGGGCTCCTCGCCCGAGGTACGACGTGATGGGCTGCATCCTCGAACAAAGGAGAGCAGTATGGTCGTCCCTGATGTCGATCTCACGGGCTTGAGATGTCCCCAGCTAGTTATCACTGTTGGTGATCGGTACGAGGGCGGAGTTGTGGACAGCGTCATCGTGGCGTGGGCTAGTCATGATCTTGGAATTTGAAAAGAGGAAGCTTTGGTTCTCTGCTCTGAGGAACGAGGAAGCTTAGTTTTCCGCAGACGGTGCCACTGATCTTACTTGATCAGAAGGGAATCAGTGACCTGCCACGCGTCGTTGATCTGCAAGCTGTTCACCGAAAATATGGAAGAGGATGGGGTGTACTTGCAAGACACTTCGATACCAAAGTAAGTAATGGACCAGAGTGGGAGCAAATACAGAGAAGGGGTTAAGAAGTGAATACCTGACCTTTTTGTGAAAGAGAGTATTTATAGAGAGACCTCAGCGCAGGGCCAACGATCACTTGTGTTGGGCTGGATTGTCAGGCCCAACCCAGGTGACTGCTAGGGCTTACGTGGCGTAGTGAAAACCAGCACGTGGTCTTCGCCCTAGTTCAACCGTCCTGTGATCTCCAGAAGGTGGGTTGACCAGCTCTTTCGAAAATGGGTAGTTAGCTGATGACGTGTCCCCACGGAGGGGGCACGTGGAGAACGTGGGGTTCTGCCCGACGGAAGGAGCATATGCCCGACGGAGGAAAATTATTCCCGACACTAAGTGATTTGGGCCTATTTAGGCTTCCCCCAAAGAGTGTTGGGTTGGGCCTGCCCATAGGCCCAGTCCAAAACAGTTAGAAATCTTAAAAAGTATTTTAAAGAAGCAAAATAAATCAAAAACGTGTTTGATATTTTTTTTAAATATAATTCAAATTTAATAAAATATTATTATACTAAATAAAACTATTATAGAGTAAAAGCAGTTCAATCATATTTATTTTGTATGCATTTTTATAAAATAATTTATTTAATTGTATTTAATAATAAAAGCAATTGTGTTTATTAGAGTTAGTTTTGGAATGTTACACTTCAGTTTTGGAATGATAAAGTTATAATTAAGAAATGGAAAGAAAAAAAACTAATACATGTGCGAGCATTCCGGTTGAATTTAAAAAATACTTAGTTATTAATTATTACATTTTTGCCATTAATAAAAATGGTTCATTTTTCCGTATTTTAAAATCCAAATTTGAAAGAAAAAATTCAAAACTGAGATGTAAAACATAGGCTGGATGTTTTAAATTGTTTGTAATAGTGAAAAGAGAGGTGCATTTTTGTAGCATTTTATTTCTGGATGTTTTTAAATTGGAAATATTACTTCAACATTTGGGATAACGCGCTAGTTCTAATAATAAATTAAAATTAAAAAATGTGCAAATTCAAGACACCAGGTTGTAGAGGAAGAGAAAAACCAACCATAAAACTCGGTTTCTCAGTATAAAAATGTCAACAGTAACTCATTACATAATATAGATGCAAAGTAGATAGCAATGGTAACCAAATCTAGCTAAGCAATGCTGTTGGGAGCGAGCAAAAATTGGGGAAGATGACGCTCCAAAATCACCAGAAGATCTCTACCATTCGTCGTTTCATCAAAGAGTCTATTCCCACCAAGCCTTCTTGCGGCTTCGACCAACTGTCCTCTTAGTCGTTGAGAAAACAAGCAACCCCCTGCCTTGACACACTCTCTATAGAGTGGGAGGTAAGCAATTGCAACATTCAGCGGGGCTGGAAGATCTCTCAAACAAATAGGAGACTCGCCCCATTTAATGATTCTCACAAGGTTCATGTAATGCTCTTTCCCTAACCTTAATCCCTCTATGTAAGCTCCTTCTGACCAATGCTCCTTAAGAAAAGCCTTTAGCTCCGGAGCAACGGCCTCATCCTCCAATTTAGCAATGATGTCTGCAACAGCATAAGTAGCTGCAGGATCACCTAAGAAGTCAGATTGGAGGAGAAATGATACACCCTCAAGAGAACCACCACTGCGTTCACCAGCAGCTTTGAGAATTTCAACACTAAGCGCTGCAAGAACCTGCTGGGGTACATGGGGAAGAAGATATGAAGCAATGTGAACTTGGCAGCTAGAAGTGGCTGCAGTAAGGGCAAGGCAGAGCTCCATGTCTCGGCAACCCCTCTGCACAAACCACTCGACAACTTGCATACAGCCCCTCTCAGCAGCTCTCATCAAAGGGCCCAAAAAGGCTACGGCATTTCCCTCTTCCACCAAACACTCCATAGTGCCTATCTTGCCGTAATGGGAGGCAAAGCCCAACGCTAAATCAACATCAACATCCAAGTTGTTTCTTTGGGCAATCTGCATCAGTTTGATTCCCAATGTAACACAAACATGAACCAAATAGTTTTAGCATACTTTGCATTATTAAAACATCTAATCCAGTAAACTTCATAACCTCACTAACTTCACATGTACTTATAAATGAGAGAAAATGAAAATGCCAAAACCTCCCATCCCAAAATTCCTCCAACATATGTAATAGAATGGCTACCCACTACTAAATTAACATAAACAAGATAAAATCATATCTATACAATCCTTTGATATGGACCTCAGTAATATTCCAACTGCAATTAAATGCACCATCATTTAAAAAATATGCCTTCACTCACAGTCCAAAATAGCTGTTTTTAGCTAAATTGGCTAATACCATTAGAAATTTAAAGGAGCTATACTATGAAGTCTAGATAATTCAAAAAGGGAAAACTACTGTGTCCAACACTATCCGATACGGGTAAAGTGGTATGTGGCCGACACATTCATCTTCAAAACATTTTACTCACTAAAGACAGTTTTCTTTTGGGACACATTCATGGTTAAAAGAATATGTTCTGATATAAATATAGATGGGGAATATGTTCTGATATAAATATGATGACACGCAGTTTGGTCTTTTTTCTAAATTATGATTCTCATATATTGGCTACTGATATGTTTATGCATTTATGAGCAATTGGCAATGTGAGTGTCTTTGTACATGCGTATGTTGGCCGTATCATATCTTGGTTGTGAAAAAATTAGATATGATCCTTGTATTTGTGCCGTATGATTTTCTTAACTTAGATTTGATTAAGAAAATAACGATTAGAAGAACATCAAAGCTAGAGTACCTGCAATAGTACACGGACAAGTTCTGTACTTCCAAAACGTGAAGCTTCCAAGAAACACTGATTGACATTGTCTGCACCCCCCTCTACTAACATGGCCAGCAAGCCTTGGATGACAGCAGCCGACATGCCAAATGCCCAACCTGGATCAAATGAGCTTGAGAAAAGAGTGAGAGGAAAGCAAGCGGCATCAAAGGCCTCACTGAAGTCCTTCCCCGTAAGACGGTTGCCAGCAAGATCAAGGAAGGTCTTAAAGGCAGATAATCGGAGCTGGGTCTCCACCGCTGAGGTGAGCGTCACATTATCAGTATCCTCTTGAAGATTGGAATGGATGCCAATACATTTGAGAGCCCATTCAGTAAACTTTTGCACCTTAGCACCCGCTTCTGCCTTCAAGACTTCGTCTCCATTGCATTCCTGGAGACGCTCGTGCAGCCTAGCAAAATATGAACAGAATGACTAAAAATGCAATCATTGTTTCCACATGAGGTGAAAAGGCATATTCTGAGATTACCTAGTTACACAGCCTCTGATAGAGTAATAGAGAAATGGTCTAAGTGTGACAAGAAACAAGTAAGTATACCCTGGGAAAATGAAATAGTTAATGGAAAGGTGTACCTCTGAGCCATTACAGTAATGGTATCGACAAGAGTCATTGTTCTGGTCTGGCATGCAGAGACACAGGAAGCAAGGAATGAAGTCCTTAGAGTGGCTCTAGTGAAGTCATAAGCACCATTTGCAATGATCTTCCTGATAAATAGTGTGATTCCATGAAGCTCTAGTTCTGTGGTCAAGAACCAGATGGAATCGAGGGTAATACAGAGGGCATCATTAAGTATTTGTGGATCAGCAACGAGAATCAAACTTTCCGCAAAGTCCCAGTTATGGGAACTAACAGCAGTTTGTAACAAGCGACCCAACTCAAGCCTGTCCTGTCTGCATAGTTTGTTGTGGCTAGTCCCAGGAAGGTGAGAATTGGTGGATTTGAGCTTTTTGGCATTGTAAGAGTCTTTCCTTATAAAGGGTGCTTCTCTTGAGAAAACAAGAGGGGCATTTTGTCCTCTGTCTGATGCATTAACTTGGAATTGAATGTTGTTGTCGTCTTGTGTTTGGGTTTCCTCCATTTTGGATCATGAGATAGTGCGTCGGCTTGTATGAAGCTAAAAGGGAGGAGGAGAGAGAGAATCCATGGCAAATAAATAAATGGTTTGATTTTTAGGTTTACATCCGAAAGAAAGAGTAGGGGCGGTGCGGCCGTGTAGAATCGAAATTGGATGATAGTTGAAGAAACGGGCGTGTAGAATCGAAATTGGATGATAGTTGAAGAACCATGCGCATATAAATGAGAATTGGAAAAATATGAAAAGAAACGAAAGGGATGAAAACCTGATTGCGAACCCAAACGAAACGAAACCCCCGCTGCAATTCTTATGCGACTTTCATTTCAATTTCAATTCAGACGTCAAATATAGAGACAGACATCACCAACCAATACCCTATTTTAAACTCTCCACTTTATTATCACATACCATCCTCACATTTCCTTTTTCATATACTACCAACCCATCTCTTGTACACACAAAACTTTATATATATATATATATATATATATATATATATATATATATATATATATATATATATATATATATATATATATATATATATATATATATATATATATATATATATATATATATAAATTTTTTTTCTTTTTTACTTACAAAGTAAATATCAGACAAATTTTGGGTAAAACTAATTTATAATTAATAGTTGATAGTCGTTAACAGATAAGCCGGTAGTTGATAGTTTATAATTGATTATTAATAGCTGATAAATTAATTTAAATGTTTGATAAATTAGATGTTACACTAATTTATAATTATAAAATGATTTAAAATAACATTTTTAATTAAAAAATTTGTGATTTCATTATTTTATTATATTATATTATTAAATTAAATTTTATTCGATAAAAGTAAATATATTAATAACAAAATATAAAATAATTTTAATATTAATATATATGAATCGAAGATATCATCAAAATATATAAATTTGTATATAAGTTTTATGAGTTTTCTATTTAGTATTGACAACAAAATTCAATAAATAAAAGAACCAATAAATTATATATGAAGCAAGGGTATTTTATAAAGCCATTTATGAGGACATAAAAGTAAAAGTAATTCTAATAACTACAATTTTTGGCCTGGTTAACTCATTCTTTCGTAAAATATAATTATTTTTTAATTTTAAATAAAATTTAATAAAATATGTGAAATAATAACATTCTAATTTTGAATTTAGTTATATTAATCTAAAATAATAACAAAAATAAGTTTATTGTCTAATATTTTACAATAAAACTGCAATAATATTCTGAATTTTCTTTATCTTTGTTGATTTCATTGATTCTCCTAACTTGAGAATTATAAACACTATTTCTAAGTTAATTATATAATTTATATTTAATAAATAAAAATAATGTCTAAAAAAATAGAGAAAAATAGAAAAAATATTCTATAACATTTTTCAAAATCTTTCAAAATATATGATCTTACCTGATCAGAAGGGGATCACTGACTGCCACACGTTACTGCCTACACGTTACTGCCTGCTCACCGGTGTTGAAGGAAAGGAGGGGGGTGTACCTGCAAGACACTCTGATGCCAAAGTAAGGAAATGGGCAGAGTGATCACAAGTACAGAAAAGAGGGTAAGAAGAGATTACCTGACCCTCTCGTGAAAAAGGTATTTATAGAGACCCCAGCGCAGGGCCAACGGTCACTTGAGTTGGGCTGTATGGTCAGGCCCAACCCAAGTGACTGCTAGGGCTTACGTGGCGTAGTGAAGACCAGAACGTGGTCTTCGCCCTAGTTCAATTGTCCGGTGATCTCCGAAAAGTGGGTTTGACCTGCTCTTTCGAAGGTGGGCAGTTGGTTGGTGACGTGTCCCCGCGGAGGGGAGCACGTGGAGAACGTGTGGAATACGCAATGTTCTGCCCGCGGAGGGTAGGTTCTGCCCGACGAGGACAGTGTCTGGTCGACGGGAGTCTTACTCTCGACAAGATAGGAGGTTCTGCCTGCGGCGGGATAACGTCCTGCCCGCGAAGGGGGAAGGATCTGCCCGCGGAGGGGCATTGTCTGTCCGGCGGGTATATATATATATATATATATATATATATATATATATATATATATATATATATATATATATATATATATATATATATATATATATATATATATATATATATATATATATATATATATATATATATATATATATATATATATATATAGTGTTAAAATAATAAAGATATAATTGGAATGAAAAGTCATAAGTTAAAAGCTACTTTAAATAACTTTTGAAAAAAAAACTAAAAGGTAGTTAAAAAGTTATAAGCTAAAAGTTAAAAGGCAGTTACCAAACAGAGCTTTTTAATCAAAATAAACTGAAAAGCTAAAAACTATAAGCTAAAAGCTCTTTTTTTAGTCTTACCAAACAAACTCCTAATCCAGGATCGAAAAGATATTTATTTTCAAAACTAACAAGAGATCGCATAGGTGCGTGATGAGGATTAATAATTTGTAAGTATCTATAAAGGGGAAAAAAGAGATGCACTTAAAAAAAATTATAGTGACAATCAATAACGATCATGCATTATGTCAAGTTAAATTAAAAATTTTAAATTAATTATATAATATGACAGAATAATATATTTTTATTGGATGACAGTGTAAAAAAAATTTACACCCTCATGACATAACAATTAAACCCTATATAAATAGATAAAATTTGTGAACCAATATATTAATGTAACATAAAGTGGACCATACTCAAATATATTCAAATTTAAAATACTTAATATAAAAAAATAAAGAAAATTTAGAGATTGTTCATTAACTTGTTCAAAAATATTTCATCTTCTTTAAATCTGTCTTATCAAATTTTTTTTTCATTGATTTCGTAAAACTTTCAAACATGTTTGCATCATTCCTAATAAAAGTTAAATCATCAAATAACAAACTCATAGTTAAAATTCTTTTACCTTCTGTTTTGACAAAGAGAATATCATCATAATTACATATCTCAAATCTTTTTTATTGATATTTTGATTTTCTTTCCAACCTGATAGTCTCCACATATTTTAACTTCTTCAATCTTAATTTCAAATATGCCAATAATAAATTTTTCAACAATAATCTTCATCTTATTAATTAAGTTCAAGTGCTCAAGTTTCATGTTCCACAACCTAGTTTCTTAAACTTTAGATATTAGACATGATTACGACTGATTTCTGTCAGAGAGTGACCACATGTAGCATTTTTCAGTCAATCGAAAACCCTTCATGAGTTAAGTGTGTTTTTTATCTGTAACATTGCATTCTTTGCTATTAAACTTGACGCTTAAATCCTAATCATATAATTGGAAAGGGTGACGAGATTAGGAGTAAGACCATCAATTAATAACAAGCCATTAAGACAAATAAGATCAGGATAGTCCAACTGGCCATTTTCAACAGTTTATCCTTTAGCATCAATCTTGTGTCTTGAACAACCGCTGTCAAAGTATCAGTGTTCTCAAGATGAAAATCTGAGAGGTGCAAGCAATATTGACTTAAAGCTTGGGCTTAATACGCCAGAGTTGTTGAGGATGCAAGTCAGGTTTTACATTCCACTGAGGATATAATTATTTTTTATGTAGATTTTTAATACATAGTCTATAAAAGAAAGGACAGCGTGACCATGCTAACCACAATAATGACATATTCAAGGAGGTCTAATTATGGCCTTAGTATACTGGTAATAATGTGTGGTAGGTTATTGCAACATTATACCAAACATCTTGGTTTCTACTTTATGTGTAGAAGGAACAAATACATTTTTTGGGTAGATGATTCACAAGTATATCAAAGTTTCTTCATGTTCTTTGCAGGTTTTTCATACTTAAAATAGTTTCAAGTTAATTTAGCATGCACATAAGTTTGGTCATTCCTTTAAGTTCAAAATTGAGATGACAACTTCTTAGTTCAACAATAGTAAGCATGAGGCAGGTTTTGTCTTAAAGAAGAGCTTCAGTTCTTTCCTTTTATTTTTCAAACAATTTGAATTCTTTAATCCACTTTAAATAAAGAGATTTATATGCTTCAACAAGGGCATCCAATAGCACATTTTCATCACTTGTATTCTCATTATCACTAGGAAATACATAAGAACTAAATAACTTAGTATTAGAAATCTCTTTGAAGCGAATAGTAAAAGCCATAACATTATTTATTTGATCAAACTCCCTTTCTTCGTCACACCCATCATCTGAAAAGATGGCGTTATAGCTTTTTCTTTGTTTTCTTAGACAATTTAGACATTCAACTTGGTTATGCTCAAATCATCCACATTCACGACATTGGATTACTTAGGATAACTGGACTTTTGTCTTTCACCATCTTTTTCTCGACGCTGAAAGCTACCATTTTTTGAATTTTATTGTTGATTGTTTTAAACATTTGAAGAGACATTGTTCTCAGATCTTCTATTAAGTCTTCTCGTGACCTTACTAAAATTCTTAGCAATCAATAGATTCAATAATATTTTCATCAATGCCATGGGATACTTGGTCTTCACAATCAACAATATTAGCTTTAAAAGTTATTTCCTTACTCTTCTTCTCAATTTTGTTATGAATGGTCATCTTAAAGGTGAGCAAAGAGCTAATCAATTCATCAATTTTAATTATGGATACATTTTGTGCTTCCTCGATGGTGATTATCTTCACAACAAACCTCATCGACAGAGATCTTAGAAACTTTCTCACATGCTTCTCGTTTTACATCTTTAATTGAGAGTAAAGGAGTTATTCGCAATGTCACGAAGGAAGACATTAAATTCAGCAATAGTTTCATTCTCAAGCATCTTCAAGTTTTTAAATTTAGTGGTGAAGAGTTGAAGTCTTGACATCTAAACTTTGGAAGTTCTCTCCTGAGTTACTTCAAGAGTATCTCGTGCCTCTTTAGCACTAGATCAGGTGTTGATGATCTTGAAGATGTTTTTGTCAACTATATTGTAAATAGCATTAAAGACACTAGAACTCCCAAGAGCAGTTTCATCTTCAGCAGGTGGCCA